CATGTAAAGAAATTTTACAATCAAACACATCATTCCAGATTCTAATAATAATTTGCAACTATTATTTTTTTATAATAATCTAAGTATCAAGTCTATCCCATAAGACCAAGAATAACTTGTCACAGGTTTCTATCTACGTTTTAGCCCCTTCAAATCGCAGCAATGAGACTAAAAAATAGAGATGAGGTCACATAGAGACAAACAAGACAAAAACAGAGAAAGACCTTAAGAACAAGAAGCATACCTGAAATGGAGAGGCGACAAATGGTAAGTCTGAATGGAAAGAAAGAAAGAAAACACAACTTTCAGCATCCCAATTATGGATATTCTCCAAATACAAGGTGAACTATTGACTAATAGCAAGAAAACACAACTAAAAGTCTGAAAGGAAAGAAAGAATAACTTGTAGCTAATGCAATGGTGGAGGTGGTACCTGGTGCCGGTGCTATGGTGGCTACACCACTGTAATTGGGGGCAGGTGTCACTGTGATGTGGGGCTATGGTGGTGTAGTGATACAGAAGCAGGAAGATAAAATTGATTTGCCAATGGCTGTGTGAAGAGACAGGAACTGAGGATGCAATGAGACAGTGATTTGTGATTCCGTGAATACAGTATCTATAATAATCGAATATATACATATCGATTGCAATCTATTGCTTCAATCTGATTTTGAACGGTTATGGTTATTGAAGGAGATGTATGTGAAAAAGGTAGGAGGCGGGGTAACGGGCCATCTGGTGAAGGTGAGGGCGATGGGCGTCATGTAGGGTGACTACAAGAAACGTCAATCGTTGGTGAGGAAGGTGCAGTCGGCCATCAGTGTCCTCAAAGGGGAACACGGGCATGGGAGGTAGTATATGGCTTCAATATTTAGAGACATTCAGGTTGCAATAAGGCGAGAAGTGGTGGCAGATGATTCACAGAGAGGTGCTAGCAATCAGGAGATCGTATGGTGGAGATGTCGCCGACGAGTGATTTGTATGGAGAGGCCGACGAACTGATTGGAATGTTAGAGCCAATTTTTAGGTGGGAAATATAATTAGGGCTTTTAATTTTTTGTGGGAAGAGTGAAATTATACTGGGAAACTAAAATTTTGAGGAGAAATTTAAAATAGTTTAGAATATATATATATATATATATATATATATATATATATATATATATATATATGTGTGTGTGTGTGTGTGTACGTGTATGTGTGTGTGAGTTTCTTTGAGACCAATGCAATATTATTTTTATGGGAAGAGTGAAATTATACCAGGAAACTAAAATTTTGAGGAGAAATTTAAAATAGTTTAGAATATATATATATATATATATATATATATATATATGTGTGTGTGTGTGTGTGTGTGTGTGTGTGTGTACGTGTATGTGTGTGTGAGTTTCTTTGAGACCAATGCAATATTATGATACAAAGGATGTGTTTTGTGACTATTCATTCTGGATGCAAAAAAAATGGAAATATTAAATAAATTAAAGCGAAGCCCTAAGTCATAAACCTTACGACATATATAACTCTAAAACCCCAATTCATACATGAGAAGTTATGAGCTTGTGGGAATAAGTGTACAAGCCATTGGACTAAACTCGCAACAAAACGAAACTATTGGACCATCCTTGCAAGCCAAACCTATTTTGGACCAAACTTGTAGCTTTTGGTTAATGGTTTAGGGTTTGGTTAATGCTTATAACATATTGCTTATAGATTAATACTTATGGTTTAAGGCTTAAGGTGTACGACTTAGGGATTATGTTGTAGGACTTAGGGATTTTGGCTTATGGTTTATGGTTTATGGGTTACTAGATATTTCTTATGGCACCTTGCTTAAGGCGTAAGGTGTAGGGATTATGCTTATGGCCTAGGTTTTATGGTTTATGGATTATAGATTATGGCTTATGGCTAAAGGCTTAGTGCTTACAACTTAAATCTTATGATGTATGGAATATCGCTCATGGCTTATAGCATATGGTTAAAGGTGGTATAGATTAGGGCTTAAGGCTTATATTTTATGTGTTAAGGCTTAGGGCTTAGGGATTATGTTTTGTAACTAAACGCTTAGGGCTTACAACTTACGTCTTATGGTTTGTTGCTTATTGCTTGTGGCTTATATCTTATGGTTAAAGGTGGTATGGCTTAGGGCTTAAGGCTTATAGTTTATGTATTAGGGCTAAGGGCTTAGGGGATATGGTTTGTAGCTTTTGATGTATGGCTTAGGGAATAAGGCTTATGGCTTAGGAGATAAGGTTTAGGGCTTATGACTTATGGCTTATGGCTTATAACTTATGACTTATGACTTAGGGCTTAGGGCTTAAGGCTTAAGGATAAGTGCTTATACTTATGGTATTTAAAGACTTATGGCTTACAACTTATGGTTTAATGCTTAAGGCTTATGTTTTATGGCTTATAACTTAATGCTTAAGGCTTATGACTTAGGGTTTAAGGCTTGGGGCTTAGGTGATTAAGGCATATGGCTCATATGTCATGGCTTATGGCTTATGACTTATGGCTTATGGCTCATATGTCATGGCTTATGGTTTAGTGCTTAAGTCAGGGTTTAGGGCATATTGCTTATGGTTTATGGCTTATGGCTCATATTTCATGGCTTATGGATTATGTACCAAGGCTTAGGGTTTAAGTCATATGACTTTTGGTGTATGAATTATTTATTATGAGTTAGGACTTGATGTATAGGACTAAGGGCTTAAGCATTGAACAAATCGGTATGGTACGGAGTGCACATTGTTTAATTTTGTCTTTGTTGAAAGTATACTGCTATTTAGGGGCGAAGCCCCTGAACCAACGGGGGTCCGGGGGCAGCGCCCCTGGGAGCGGGGTCCAAGGGGCAGAGCCCCTGGCTGGGATCGAGTTCTAGACCCGGTTTTGTTCCCGGTTTTTGATAAATGTACCCGGTTTTGTGATCCATATTCTAGACCCGGATTTAAGTTGGTTTATGACTGTTTGTGGACAGTTTTAGGACATAAAACGGTCATGTGGCAGTTTTAAGACATGAAGTTTTTTTGTTATATGATCATATCCGAAATCTGTTGTTGGTACACTTCTTCTTCATAACATCAAAACATTCTCTCTTCTGTTTTTTTTCTCTCAATTCTGAGTCTTATCCGATTAAAGATTGGGAGTACCACCCAAATACTTTAATTTGAAAGTGTTATACACGATTCTCAGAATTCCGAACCTTTCTATACACACACACACACACACACACACACATATATATATATATATATATATATATATATATATATATATATATATATATATATATTAAACACCATCATTCAAAATTTCAAATGAAAATTTCAATTTCCCACTCGAGATTTTATTTGAACTTCACTTTCACACACATTAAATTTAAACTCCCTCCCAAATATTAATGCATTTTATCTTTATTTTCTCTTAATTTCTTTTTTTTATTCGAATTCTTCCCAAATATACAAGGGCGAGGGCTCCGTTCTCTCATATCTGTTTCTACGCTCAAGAATCGCCGTTCTCTCATATGTGTTTCTACGCTCAAGAATCGCTCAAAATCTGCTTTTGCTCTACGATCTACGCTACTGACTCGGTGATTAGTCTTCGATTGAGTTGATTTCAACCGCTGAACGAGATTGTGTAGGTTTTCCTTCCTAATTTCTTGCTTAATCGGCGCACATGTAGGTGAATTTCAAGGAACCGCGGGTAAAATTAGGTCGTCTGTCACCAGAAATTCCAGAGCAACTTGCTCTATCGATGAGTTCTTGTCCGACCGATAGGAGGTGGTATATAGATTTGTTGTTCTGCCACCTCCGATGAATAGAAGCCACCGTCACCAACCTTCTTTGGCTCTTCGTGGTCGCCTTCCAGTCGATGCTACGCCTTCTACTCCTCCAGATATCCTCCAACATCGTCTGCTCCTCCGGAATCCCTCCAACATCTATCGTTGTCATTTGTGAAGGTAAGTTCTTCTTCCATTTTAAAAGCATTTGATTAATTGATTTTAAATAATATTGATTTTACCTTATCAGGTAATACCTTCTAATGGGTGCCTTTATGGTGTAGAAGTATTCAAACACCATGTTATACTCTGTTCTGACATAATTAATAGGCTTTTAATGACATAGGCATCTGCTGGCTCGTAGTTTGTATGTCATGACTCATGTATAACAATGAAGTGTGAATGCCTAGTTGAAGTTGTTACAGTTCCATGATCGATCATGTTATGTGCTATACTTCCGATGCATATGTATATTGATTATTGAAAGAATTAACATCAATTTTTTGTCACTTTCAGGTGGGCAAGCATAGTAATAACAACTGTTGCTATTAGAACCTTGTTGGCTCCAATCATGATTAATCAGCACAAGGTTGCCTCAAAGTTAACTGTGAGCTCTACTCATTTGCCTAACATATTTATTAGTTCATACATTTGAAGTTGAAAGCCAATATATGTAAAACATCAGTCAACATCTCTCCCCATCTCTCTATGGGTGTGTGTCCTGACTCCTGAGTCCTGAGTATAATAGTATATTGAGTTATATTGTTCAGAGGTAGCATTGATCTGTTGACATTTTGCATACAGATTTTGGGGCCAAAATTGGAGCAGATTCAACAAAAGATGGAAGATAAGGTATGCCCATCATCAAACTTCTTCTGTCATTTGTCATCTTACATGTTACATAGATGAAAAGTTCATGTTTATGCTGGTGCACTATGTATAAAGAGCCACCTTTGTCTAAATTATAATATATTGTTTCAAAACGGAAGTTAAAGCTATTGAATAACATGCTGTGAATCAATATCCTTAATTTGATGCTACCATATAACTTTTGGTCATGAATAATTAATTATTGATGCAAATAGAAGACTGGGGGACTTCTTGCATGTGCAGTGCTCTTAATGTTTGTTTATTGAATTCGACATGCTTATCCTTTTAAGAAGATGAAACTCTTTGGCCCTTGATTATTTTTATTATTAAAAATTATTAGTAACCTTTTCAGAGCATGAGTCCAACGGCTGTAGCTGAAGTTGAGGCACAAAAGAAGAGAGTATATATGGAGTAAGCACTTTCCATTGTTCCTTAGTGTGAGCTTCTGCTTGACATGATCAATGTTAAGCCTTTGTTTTTGCATGATAATAATGTTATAATTGGAACTGAATATTTGTGCAGGTATTCCGCTGCTATGTATACTCAATTGACCAGGCTTTTCATCCAAGTCCCTGTCTTTGTCGGCTTTTTCCTTGCTGTAAGTAAAACATATTATATCCCAAATGGCAGCTTCAATCTTTTAATAATATATAATACTACATTTTTGGAATGTGTTGTAAGTTTTGAGTAAGTAGTAATGTGCAGATTGAGAACATGGTGGAAAAGGTTCCATCTTTTCAAACTGGTGGGGCATCTTGGTTCATCGACCTTACCACTGTTGATGCATTCTATATTCTTCCTTTATTGGCTGCTATTTCATGTTGGATAACTGTCGAGGTAAAAACATTGTTGTTGATTGTTTCAGTTGCCTTTTGGATTCCTTTGTCCTTATTGTATATATGTTGTGTTTCTTAGTTTACCATGCAGGAAGGAAAGCGTGGTGGTGTCTGGAAAAATATTGCAAGGGATGATGTTGCTCTTACGCTTCCCCTTACAGCAAGTTTCCCAAACGTATCTATCACATCACAACTCTTTTTCTTAATTATGAAAATTCCAACCTTCTCACTTGTTGAAACTTTGTAGGAATGAAACAATTGGTTGATAGTTGATACTGGTCTGAATGAAACAGAGGAAGTTTTATCTTGATTGATTTCCAAAAGGCACCCATTAGAAGGTATTCCCTGATAAGGTAAAATCAGTTATCATTTATAACTCTATATGTATTTTTATACAAATAAATTTATGAAGATTCATTTGACTAGTTATCATTTATAACTCTATATGTATTTTTATTATTTGTTATACATACATACTTCTCCTTTAAAGTTCCCCAAGATGTCGTGATTCTCTTTCATTTTAGAGTAGGAGATAGTGATACATAAGACAGTTGAGTAAAGTGAATTATTTCACAAAGGGATCAGCTAATTTGCTTAGTGAGGCTGGTGAACTTTGTTCTTTTACCTTTCTTCATACCACATTATCCTTGATTTTTGCATTGCTTCATTTTGAATCTGTTCTTGGTGTTTATGTTAGACATACACAGGAAGCATCCTAATTGTTGTCAACCCGTTCACAAAGCTTCCTCATCTGATGCCCTTCTCAAGAAGACAAGGAGCAATACAAACAAGATGAATGCCTAGTTATGTTTAGGTTTTCGTTTATGATGTGTTTGATTTTTTAACAATTATTTAAATTCTTGAAATGAGGACAATTTTCTTTTCTTTGATATTTTAATTTGGAATGTAATGTATGGATTTGGATTTCAATTATTAGTAATATCAAATTATGAATTTTGTTTTCGTTTCATATTGTTGGGTTTCGTTAATTTAATTTAAATTATTTTGATGTGTCTACAATGAATAAAAAGTAACAATAAATAGTAAGTTAAAGTGGTTGTAATATAAATTTTGCCATGTTTTATTGGTTTTTAATGTCTCTAAAAATATACAATGGTTACTTTACATCAATTTTTAGCGTGTGGCTAAATGGTTAACAATAGCCATAATATACAAGAATTTTGAGACTACAATTGATTTAAAATGATGTTTATTCTAAAGTTCTTGTGACTAAGTTAAACAATAACAACATGAAAAACAATTTATGCGGCAAATAAATACCATAATTGATTGTTGTTGAGACTAAATACTAGCTAATCGTCACTTACATCATTAATTATGTGTCCATTTACCGAACATGGACATGTTCACTGTAATTATATGTGTCTAAAATATACCCAATAGTCTTAATACGATACCAAATAGTCCTTAATTTTAACAAAATGTGTGTCTTTATAATACTTATGATTGTATTTCACTTAATTGTGTGTCTCTATATGATAAGTTATAGTCACAAAAATTGATTGTTTTTTGTGACTAATAATTACCAATTCGCCACTTATGGAAGTAATTACATATGGCCATTTAGCAAACATGGTCACACTCACCATAATTATATGTTTACAAAAGATACACAATATTCTTAATAAAATTTAAACTGTGTGACAATATAGAAGAAAACAACTACACTAAAACATCATGAATGTCGCAAGTTGGTGATATACAGTCACAATGTTTACTAAATATATGTGACTACTGACGGTTTAACGCTACAATATTGGATATTTAAGGAACAAAATTCCATACACATTTGCCACACTTTTATAATACGGCCACATGTTTTCATATCATACGAACACTACATTTTAAAGTGACCATAAGAGTCATACGATGGCGTCACCTTCCGTCACACTTTCAGTGAAAAAAATAAAATGTCACTATACGCATATGGTCACACTTTTTTGGTGTGACTGTAAGTCATTTTTCTTGTAGTGACATACGAGTCATACATATCAAACATCCAATAGGAGGTCCTATGTGCCAACCATAGTCTTTCCATTATGCCACGAGCCGTATCATGGTCTTTTCATGCCAAGCCGGGGGCCAAAACCCTGGGTCTTACAGACAAGTGCCAGGAGACACCTCATGGTCTTCCATGCAAGCATCATAAAGACAACTAGCATATAGTCTAAATCTACTTAACTGCCAGAGTCTAAACTAGGGATGTCAAAAACTTTCGTGGGACCCTGCTCCCGTGGGACCCCGATTCCATACGGGATTAATTTTTTAAATAATTCGGGGGCAGGGGCGGGGGCGGGAGTGGGATTAAACCCCGTTTTATTTTCAGGACCGGGGGCGAGAGTGGGTATTTCTGTCCCGTACTCCCGCGGGGGCCCTGTTTGTATATTTATATAAAAATATATATATTTAATAAAGAAATATATATATATATATATATATATATATATATATATATATAGAGAGAGAGAGAGAGAGAATATATGACCTAATTTTAGGTTTTCTTGACTTTCTTCCACTTCATATCGTACAAAGATACGATAGTGAATTGGTCATATATTTTTAGACATGTCATACTTTTTTTTGTATGTTGGATTTGTCGTATTTTATATTTGTAAGTTTGTTCGATTTGTCGTTTCGTAATGTTGAATTTGTAATATTGGATTTTTAATTTTTTAGTTGTTAAAAAAACTAGATTTTAAGATTTTAAAGTTATGAAAAATAGTTTTTTAGCCAAAAATATAACAATTTGTTTTAGCAAAAAAAAATCAATTTTAAGCCTATAAAACGGTGGAATAGGAGCGGGGGCGAGATCGGGGATAGTGAAGGTATTCGGGGCGAGATCGGGGGCTATGTAAACGAGGGATTCGGAGGCGGGGGCGGGGGTGGGGGCAACAACTGATTTCGGGGGCGGGGCAGCTACTTCCGCTCTCGTCTGGTCTCGTTGACATCCATAGTCCAAGCTCTGGACTTGCATACAGATCTGCCAGGAGCCACCTCCTAGTCTTTCATGAAAATGCCAAGGGAGACCCCCTGGTTTTCCTATAATACATATACCAAATGGGTTGGCATTTGTGCCTTTGACCCATAATAAAGTGAGGAGACTCACCTCGATAGCTGAACCCACGAATAAATATTTGACCGCTGATCTGCTAAAATCCCCGTGCTATCAAACAAATAACACCCAATTAACAATTGGGTTCCAAACCAAATGCAACAATCCAATATGGGGTAAAAAGACCATTTTACCCCTCATCTAGTTTGGTCTAAGACTAAGGCCCAAACTCACAATCATAAAGGCACACAAACTAATAATCATCCAAAGCCCATTTATGGCCCAATTTACCAAATTGGGACCAAACCCTTACATGGGCCTTACCCTAAAGCCCATTAACTCTTCCTTAATCCAAAACACATATTCTAAAATGGCCCAACCAAGCCCCAACCAACCAAGACCAAAAGATAGCCCAAACCGAAGCCCAAACGTACAAGGCCCAAACAGACCGAGTACCCGGGGCATACAAGCACGTACGCGCAGCGTACTCGCTTGTATGCTAAGCGTACCTGCTTGTACGCCCATCATACTCACCCTATCCAGCCCAAACTTGATTTTTCTTTTAATCCATTTAGACAAAGCTCCAAAACACAGATATGACCTCCTTGAGCTGGATTATCACGTAAAGTTGTCAACTTTACGTCCATGCATGACTAAATAAAGCTCTTAAGCTTAAAAGGGACTTAATAGATGACTTCACATGAACTAACCCACATCTGGAAGAACAAGCCCTTTATGCTCAATGATACCAAAATAATCCCAGATCTAGAAGAACAAGCCCTTAAACAACCCAAAAAGGAGAGCAAAATCACAATAAACTAACCAAGAAGAGATCTAGACATATACAAGCCAAGATGCAAACTTTATACCTCAAAAAGCTTCCCCACAAGGTGATGATTCTGGATCCAAAGCCTCTCCACCAAGCCAAACAACTTCAAGCTTCTCTTCCTTCCTTCCCAAAGGAAAAATGTGCATCAAAGCCTTCCAATAGCTCAAGAACACCACCAAGAGGCCACAAGGGCAATTTAGGATTTTTAGGGTATGGAGGTTGGCTTAAAATGAACAAAAGAGGCTAACATAATGCTTTTATAGGGTACATTATGAAAATTTAGGGTTTCACACTAACCCTCGTACGCCCAGCGTACGAGGTCTCGCACCCCGATCCCAATATCACAGTACACTAAGTGTACTCCTCATTATGCATGACGTAACTCCCTTTGTGTAAGTACGTGTCGCGTACTCCCTTGGTACGCCCCATGTACTAGGGTCTTCCCTCAACCCTAACTTATTCCAAAGGCCATAACTTCTTTGATATAACTCTGATTTCAACCATCCTTATATCCATGAAAAGGTATCAAGAAGCTCTACACTTTTATGAACTCAAACTTGCCATACAAATCCCCGAACGGAAATCCAATTTCCATAAAAGCCCACTGCCATTTTACCAAAATACCCTTAGGCTCCAAAAACAAATTTGAACGCTCGAAACATCTACATTTCATCACCCACGCCCAAATGGGTAACGATTCAGATAAGGGCATTACATCTAAACTCTATTAATTCATAAATAGGGAATAAAGGAACAATCTTTAACACATATGAATCTTGCAATCAAACTTAACAAAATAAATTAAATAAGAATAAACAATCCAAATAGCAATTAATCCATAATCTCAAAGATTCATCTAGTCATAAACACAAAGCAAAGGGTTTTAACACCCAAATAAGAAAGTAAACACATATGGAATCACATTGGAATGCTAATCATGATCGAATCAACAAAGCAAATGATCTCAGGCATGAATCCACTCTCCAATCCTTCATATCTTCGCTCATGTCTGCTTAACGACCTTCTGGCCTCCTTCTAGACCCTCAAAACGGCAGAAAAAGTGTTTTTTGTCGACCAAGGATGGATAAAAGTCATAATCCCTCTTCTGGTTCACCAAAAGTCGCATTATATAGGTTTTTAAACCGACTTACGTATGTTGGGCGTAAGTCATGAAAGTCACGTCTACACCCGTTTCCACCTAACCCAGTACGCCGGGAATACTCCCTATTATGTTGGGCGTAATAGGCTTCCTCTCATCCATTCCTTTGCTTTTTGCAATTCAGCTCCAATGTCTAGCCTTTTCGCTTCCTTTCTGCTCTAGCAACAATGTATACCTGTAAAATAT